CTGTAGCCCTTAGTGGCACCTAATGCACTCAGATACTCCCCACCTCCCCCAGCCTCCCCAGACCAAATATTTATAGAAAAATCAAAACTCAAATGAGACAGAAAGATGCAAATGACTTACTGGATTTAGTGGGTTTATCTTACTTGGAAGTTAAAAACACAAGATTATATGAAAGCCTAACAGGAGCTTTTCACCCATGCAATTTAGAGCCAGCTTCTCAAACTTTAATGGGACCTTGAAGACCTTGCTGAATATAACTCGAATGTGGGGGGTATGTGAGGGCACTGAGAGTCTGTTTTTCTAACAAGTTCCCAGGTTGTGCTCATGATACTGGTCCATGGAAAGTCTCAGGAGCACACACTTAAGAGGACTCCACGGCACCTTGCCCTTCGTAACCCTTGGGTGAGGCAGTGACCACTGCTCTCTACGATCACTGTAGATGAGGGATGGAGCCCCACATGCTAATCATTTGCCCAGGACAATTCAGCACACAACCCAGTGCAGTATCCATGTAAATAAATGCTTGGTGCCCTGTAAGCTCACCCGTTCTGTAACGGGAGAGAGAGGCCAGCAGGGTTGTGGGAAGAACCAAACTCCTATTACTTTCTGACCTTTTAGTCTATATATTTCTGACCATAATACATAATATCCTGGGATACTTTAAGCAGAAAGAAGAGCCTAATGACTCTAATGGCAACATGGGAAACCTGACATTTTATTTCTTTCCAGAGCCGGGTAGGGTGCATGGTTACTGGACAAAACTCTGAGGTGGCCATTTAAATGTGAATTTCTAGTGTAATTCTGTTCCATATATAACTTGGGATATACTCATCCTAAAAACAAAAAAAAGTATTTGTTTATCTGAAATTCAACCTTTTTTTTGAGACAAAGTCTCACTATGTAGTTTAGACTGGACTTGAACTCACTTTGTAGCCCAGGCTGGCCTCCAACACTCAGCAATCCTCCTGCTTCAGCCCCCCAAGTGCTGGGATTATAGGCATGCACCCCACGCCCAGTTTGAAATTCAACTTTAACCAGCAGTCCTGGATTTGTAGTTGCCAAGTCTGGTGACCCTGACAGGGTAGCAAGTAAAAATCCAGAGTAAGGATTTGGCTTAAAAAAAAAAAAGACCTTTCTTCCTTCATCACTATTGACCTTAAAGATCCCAGAAGGATACAAGCATGGCAGGCACTCTATTAGGATGTATGGCTGTATCACTGTCACTACTCTGTCTGTCTCTGAATGGAGCTTAATCTTAATTTGCTAATTACAATGTAACAAAAACATACATTTATAGCTGGTGGTGTGGACTGAACTACATCCCTCCTAAAATTCACATATTCATGTTCTAATGCCCAGCATTCTCAAGTGTGACCTTATTTGGAAACGGGTGTTTTGTGGTTTTTTTGGTACCAGGGATCAAACTTGGGTCCTTAAGCTTGCAGGGCAGGCGTCAGAACTGAGCTAAATCCCCACCCCTGGAAACGGTTTTTGCAGATGTAAGATGAAGCCCTAATGGAGTAGGGCTACTTGGACAGAGAGATGGATGTGTACATGGAGAGCATCACGTGAAGACTGGTGGGCAGGGCTTCCACAAGCCAAGGAACCACGGGAAGCTTGGAGAAAGGGCTTTTCCTAGTCTCCCAACTGTGAGACAATAAGTTTCTACTGCTTAAGTCGCTGAGTTTGTGGTACGTTTGTTACACCAACCCTAGGAGAGTATGAATGGGAGTTGGGAAACAGCAGAGAAAGAAAGTTACAGTGAAAGCATTCACAAAAGAGCCTCATGGACACTGCCATGATAGCTTTTCACCTTAGCACTGGACGGCCTCAGCTGAGGAAGATTCAGGGATTTAGAAATGACAGACCATTTCATATGAAAACAGTTCCTATGTTACTAAAATTCGATTTTAAATGTTGAGTTGAGCAAGTTACACACTATTTAAAGAAGAAATCTTAGAAGTCAGAATTTACCCGTTACACAAAAAAGGATACATTTCCAAGTACTTCAGGCCCTAAGGAGATCTTTAGAAATCACAACCTTAATAGACCTCTTATTTAAAGTGTTGTTTGGGGGTTTTTTTTCCCCATGAGAAGTTTGCTTTCCTTCAGTTCTTACAAACCAAACATTACCATATTAGGTTGTTGATTAAGGAGCTCCAAACAAAATTAAGCAGGCTCTTCTGATTTCATTGTCTCTCTTGATTATTTGCTTGTCATATTTCAAATAACCCCAAATGGCAAGATTCAAACAACAGATATACTATTTAACACTGCTTTTTCTTCTTCTACAGTAACTGAAACCCCCTCAATCTAGCATGGCTTCTAATGTATCCTTACCAAGGCCTCTTGTAGGTAGGGAGAAGGATCCAGAAGCAGAATTCAACAGTCTCACCCTGAAAAAAGGCTCCAGGCGCACAGGCCTGCATTCCATCTCTGCAGCCCACCTGGTGTTTATCTCACTGAGGGCTTCTGCAGACCCTGTGCCCTGTACCAGGGATGTTCCTTCTTCTGCCCAGACTCTTTCCTATGCTCACAATGCAACCCTCCCTAAGCCCCTACAGCTCAACAGTCAGCTTCTGAGACATCTTCCTCTCATCACTCTCATTTTTGCAGATCACATAGCCTTTCATATTTCCTTCACCACCCTGTCCCATTACAGTATAATTTACCTGTTTATTATGCATCCTTCCCTTAAATTACCTTACACACAAGCACACAACAGGCACACAAATTTTTGTCTAGGTTGATCAATTAATTAGATAGATAATGAAGGTATTTTAACAATGCATATATAAGATCTTTAACATCTACATGCTACTGAGCCCAGAAATTCCACTAATGGGAATTTATCCTGAGAAAATAATCATGAATGAATGCAAAAATTTAGCCATGAGACTCTTCACTGTAGTTTACAATAAGAAAACTAGAAATGTAAATATCCAATAATATAAAGGTGATTAGATAATTTATAGCAGTCTCTGTTTAAAATACTCTGAACCTTTTCAAAATGTCTTGTTGAATGGAATGGTAATTAATGACATGAGGAAAAGTCCACATGGGAAAAAAGTGTTATAAACACCTCAGTTTTTGTTGAGCAGTGGGGTCATGTGTGGTTTTCATCTTATGTTTTTCTGTATTTCATATATTTTAGCTATGTCTTTTACATGGCTTATGTAACTTTATTTTTAAAAAAATATTTATTTAAAAATAAATTCTTAACCAGTTCCAATAGGACAAACACGTATGGTTCTATGCATATGAGGTACCAGGTGTATCTGATTCAGAGACAGAAAGTGGAATGGTGGTTGCCAAGGGATGGGGGGAGAGTGGGATAAGGAGTTATTGTTTATTGGCTATACAGTTCCAGTTCTGCAAGACAAAAAGAGTTCTAGAGATGGACGGTAGTACAATGTGAATGTACTTAACGCCACTACAATATAATCTCAAAAACAGCTAAGATGATAAATTTTGGTCGGGGCACAGTGGTATGTATCTGGAGTCCTAGCTACTTGGAAGGCTGAGGCAGAAGGTTTGCTTGAGCCCAGGAGTTCCAGGCCAGCCTGGGTAACATAGCAATACCCCATTTCAAAAAAGAAAATAAAAATATGGCAAAATATACCTAATGTTAAACTTAATCTTTGATTCTGAGATGGGCTCTTGCTGTTCTGCCCAGGCTGACTGGAACTCCTTGGGCTCAAGTGATTCTCCTAACTCAGCCTCGCAAGTAGCTAGGAGTACAAATGTATGCCAATGAGCCCAGCTATTTTACCACAATTAAAAACAATTTTTAAAAATAATCACTAAAGCATAAGTACAGCCAAATCTACAGATTATCTTAGGATTTTTCAAGTAACAGGAATAAAAGAAGTCTGACTTTGGGGCCGGGGATTCAGCTCAGTGGTTCCGCCACCTGCCTTGCAAGCACAAGGTCCCGAGTTCGATCCCCAGTACCAAAAAAACCCAAACAAACAAAAAAAAGAAGTCTGACTTTGACCTTGGGTCACATGACACAGAGCAACAGAATCCAATTTCCACCAGTGCTGGAGTGGGTCAGGGCGTGGGCAGGCAGCTAAGAAAGAATGAAGCCTGGTTTCTGGGGTAAACCTGAGAACCCCAAGGCTGAGGCCCACAGTCCAAGGGCTGGACTAGTGTGCGGATGTGCTGGTTTAGTCCATCTAATGCTGGGCCTCAGGATGTGCACAAAATTCCTAAATTAACTGTCAATATTTAAAAATAGGGGTATTTCTACCTAAAAAGAGATTTCTTCCAATTTTCTTGGGAAAAAATATGAAAACTCATAGCCACTCTGTGTTTACAACCACTTATATGCCAACGAGTGGCTGGCGGGGAGTAGTAGCTGCCCATTTAGATGGACCCCCTCTCTCCCCAGCTCAGCCCAGCTCTGCACCTGCCTGGCCCTGCTGCTCCAGAGCTAGAAACTACTTGGAATGACTGTATGATGGCTGGCACCAAGCTAGCTAGCTCCCTGGTCTCTTGGAAATATTTAGAAACCACAGGCCTGCTTATGATGCAACAGCTGGGGTTAGTTAGTGGCCTTCATGATGGTCTTGTGTCAAGACACATGTCTAGGCCGGGGCCTACTCCTGATCTTGCTCAGTCAGAAGGCAGCACTATCCCCAAGCCACATTTCCATGCACCATCAAAGTAAAACACCCTGCTCACCCTCCTCATTGAAAAAATTTAATAGGAGACCACATTCTTAAGAAGAAATCAAAGATCACAGTGCCAAAAGTTCTGTTCTCAACAGAAGCCAACACAGGATGCTTTTGGGCAGAGGTGGCAGGGCTTTTCCTCTGATTGCTGCAGCTGGTAAACAGGGTAAAATTCCCAGCTGATGCCACTATGCCACTGCTACAATGGTGGGAGGAGGACACTTGAAACTCAGGTTGTATATCTATCCAATTGCTGGGGGGGGGGGTTCCAAGTCCTGTGGGGTTAAGTGGAACAGGGGAGATGGAGACCAGCACTTTTCTTACCTGCTGTAGGCACGCTAACATTATACTGAGGTAAAATAAATAGGAAGGCAGTCTTGGCTGTGACCTGTAAAACAAGGGAAAAAGTTCCAGTTTAACTTCTTAGCCACATGGAGCCATCTACCACTGCAGTTACCCATTCCTTCTACGTCTTAGACCATATACCTCTTGGAGGAGGGACTTTACCTCCTGCCGAGTTTTTGTTCCATTTTTCTTTCATGACTCCCCTCCTAATACTTGCACTAAAAAAAAAAAAAAACCCAAAAAACAGAACAAAAAACTTTGGGCCCTAAAGTATCTATATTCACTACAGGTGGAGAAACAAGCTGTGCTTGACAGTCCAACAGCTCCAAGCAAGGGGTTCAAAACTGCCTGCCATTCATTCACTCATTCACTCAATCACGGAATTATCAAGTGAGCTCTGTGCACCCAGAGCTGTAGAAAATGAAGTAACAGCTTCCCGGGGCTTAGGACCAGCTGGGTTTCCCTAGCACTTTCGTTGCTGCACACTGGTCAGCAGCATCAAAAGCTTCAATCTTAGCTTCTGGAATAGAAAATTGTAGCTGCTAATTTCATATCTGTTCAACTAGGGAATATGGGACAAGACAGTACACTCAACACTGTTGGTCTGCTTATTTCGAAAGCTTCCTTTAAAATTTTAGTTGTACTGTGAAAAAACTGTGGTTGTCACTTGGTTATTAATAGCCAAATCAGTACTATGACAGTTTCACAAGTAGGGGAGAAATAACAATGGAGGGCTTGAAGCTTAGACTCTAGAATCAACTGCCTGGGTTCAAATGCTGGTTCTATGGCCATGTACCTATGAGCAAATAACTTCACACTCTGTGCCTGGGTTCCTTGCCTACAAATCAGGGATATTTGTAGTACCTCAGCTGGTCTGGGCACTGCAGACTGTGGTGGCACTGGCCCAGTTAAATGTTGTTTACAGCTCCCCAGATGTGCAGCTGTGGCTGAGAACACCACCCACACTGTTCTGAGAAATGGCCCAAGGCCAGGGAGGAGGAGGCACCTTCCCCGGTGGCCTCTGAAGATACCTCTCCCACGAGGGGTTACTGGCTCTTCTCTAAGGACAGAGGTCAGAAGGATGCACACGGGGGGTGGAATTGCAAATAAAACTCTGGACACCCAGTAAGAGGTGACTGTCCTCAGCTTACCCTGCAGAGACAACTCTCTTCTTTGAAGAGAAAAGCTCTCCCTAGTCAACAAGACCTGTGACTCTGCAGCGGGTGTTATGTACTTCTCACAGGCAGTAATGCTCAAGGGTCCTTTCTGTGTATTTGTGCCAATCCCTTAAACATGTTCAACCAAGCTTGCAGGGAAATCCCAAATGAGGTTAGGCATGAGAAGGACTTTTGGAAATCCAAGCACCATCTATACACACAGGTCTTCCCCAACCCCCACCCTAAAATTTAGTACTTTGGTTCTTAAGACCTTTTAAAGTGTTCCTGACCAATTCTCTGTATTTTCTTTAATAGATGTGCCTGGTTTCAGCCACTGTTCCACTCACTATATCCTTTTAGGGGCTTTGGCCCCTCTCACTTTGTTTCCTCCTTCTATAAACCCCTCCCCCATGAATCAATCAGAATCTCACTCCTCCTTCCTGACCCAGTTCAACGGGGAGCTCTTCCACAAAGCTTCCTAGCTACTCCAGAGAATGACCTCATCACTAGAAGCATGTGCATCATGCTTCTGCTGGGTCATCATTTCCACAGAGCTGCCAACAGCTCTCACCAAACTGTCACCTCCTGCAAGGAGAGGTCACACTGCCTCCTTATCCTCATATGTCCCCTCAAGTAACAAAGCAGATACATACAGTAAGTGCTCAGTACCTGCTTACTGAATAAGATGAAAAATAAAGCCTGCTTCGCAAAACTGTATTTGTTCCCAATCTCCAGGAGGAGTTGCCCCCAGGGCTGTCACTTGAGCTGTCCTCTGTCATCAACAACTTTTCTTGGAGAACTGTCCAGCTGTCACACCACCTCGACCTAGCTCCACCGTGAAGGCCCTCCTGTCCATTCCTGCCACAGTGGCCCTCCTCTCTGAACTCCTCTCATCCTGGACTCAATCATCTAACTCTGTCATCTGCCATGACTCCTTTGAGGTTACACTTTGTGTTCACAGACTAAAATCTCTGTGAGGGTGGGTCAGAGGAACTGATGGAAATGAGAGAAAAGAGAGAGGTGAAAGATGGGCAGGCAAAACGAAAATATTCGCCAAACACTCTACAAAGCATCAGCTGACGTCTTTCATTTGGTTCAATTCAAGAAATGCATGTCTTTTAAGACATGGGGTGGAGGCTCTCCTGCAAGGTTGTGCCTATCTGACAGCTACTTTCCCCTTCTAACAGCACTAGTTCCCCGGGAAACACCTCCCCCAAATGTATTAGGGCACAGGCTATGTGTCGGCTCACTTCTGGTGCCCACCTCCTTCCTGAGAGGATGAAGGGAAGAGATCCTTTTCCCAGGTCAGAGCCCAGCCAGGTGGACACCCTCTCCTGAGCTCTGGGTCTGCTGGGCAGGACCAGAGAAAGTGCTGACTAGGGCCAAAAGCCTATGGAGTTCTCCTGTGGTTTCTGAAGTACTGGCCCAGGAGTGCCCTTGGGTCATCAGCCTCCCATCAGCTGTGTGGGCCCCTAGAAAGCCTCCTTCAGATGGCCAGTGTCCATTTGTAAGAAGCATTATTTGACATGCAGAATACCAGTGTTCAACCTTGGCTTCAATGAGAATTCCTGGAGGAGCTTTTAAAATCTCTATGTCAGGGCCATACCCCAACAAATTAAATCAAACCCATGAGAGCACTGGCATTTTGTCCAGCTCCCCAGAGCATTCCAACATGGAGCCAAGTTGAGAACCACTGCCTTTTCTTAGAGAGATATTTGGTATGGGGGCTCCACATGTAGTCTTGCTATAACCCTGCATACAGTACATAGCCAATTCTCATTATTCATGGTAGCTACGGTTCATGAAGTCACTACAAAAACTGAATTAGGGAATATTAAAGTGCTACATCTAGGAGTAATACAAACTTAAGTTCCTCTAAGCCTCTGGTCTTTGCGCTTGTGCAGCAGGCGGCAAAACCACTGAGCTAAATCCCCAGCCCTCTGGTCACATTTTTGCCAGTAGATCAATACAATATATAACCTTTTGCTACGTGTGCTTCTGTCCAAAGACACCTAATTTAATATATATTGTTGATTCATTAACACTGAACTCATGATAAATAGTTGTACTATATATAGCTCAGGCCTAACTGCAGCTTACATAACACACTTTCTCCAAAAGGCACATTGCAGCCTTCTAGCACTTACCGCAGAACACTAGACAGCACTTCAGCACTATACTGAGGAGGGACCAGATTAGTGAAATCCCAATAAAAAGCACAAATATGCAAAAAAAAAAAAAAAAAAAAAAAAAACCCTTGTGACACTAACTAGACTGTGAAAATGACACTGATTTACAGTATGAGACCTGGAACAAGAAGATAGAACACTGCCTCCTTTACCTCAGCTGGAAGCACTCATGTTACAAAACTCAAAAGCTTTTGTCTCTCTGTGTATATTTGTGACTGACCTTAAGAGCCAAGTATTGATATTGGGGGTCACAAACAAATTTTAACAAGTAAGCAAATTCTCAGGAATAAAATCCACAAATAATGAGGATCGAATTTACTAGGGCAAACCTGAATGTCAGTTCCAGGAGGGCCAAGTTCTTTTTTAACAGCTTTATTGAGGTATAATTTACACATCATAAAATTCTCCCATTTTATATGTACAGCTCTAAGGGATTTACCTTCCTTTTAAAACTGTCTCTTCCTTCATGGGCATCTAAGCTGTAGGAGAAGGAGAATAGGGCGAAAGACAGAGCTGACTCAGTAATATATGCTTATTTCCAGGACACAGCAATTGAGCAGGAGCATGAGAGCTGTGCTCAGCTCTCTGACCCTCAGCCTGTCACCCACCTGCATTTATACTTCTACACACGTGTTTTCTCTCCCTGGCTCCATCCAGTGCTGGGCATGTAGTAGGTTATCTTATAAATGCCCATTTGATGAACTCATGCTGAAAGCAGCCATAATATTTGGTAACCACAGATGAATGCTTAACACATGTTTCCGAACATGAGTCTAAGAGAACAGGATTTGGGGTTCTGAGTTAAGGCAAAAAATAATAGATTCCAGTATTTTTCCATCCCTACCCTCCTGGCAGTGGCAGCAGAAATCAATTCTAAAATGTGCGTCTTTCCTTGTGAGCAGTTAGGCTTGCTCCCATTTCACCATTTCTCAGCCAGATGGTGTCAGTTTCTGTTTCATAGATGAAGAAACTAAACTTGGGGCATAGAGAAGTAAAGCAGCCTCTCAAGATCTCACAATGACACAAGCAGAAAAGGCAGCAGCCAATTTGGTTTTTTACAAACTTGTTCCCAAAACAAATATAGCGCAAATGCAATACAGAACATAACATAGAACAGTAACATAAAATGGAAGAGAGGATCAAAAGGAAGACTAGCAAAAATAAGATATATATCAAAGGCAAAGAGAAGGAGCAAAAACTGAGGCTGATACACAAAAACACACTCCAGGAAGTCCTATTCATTGGCTAAAAGTGGCGAGAAATTTGGCTGTTAGCTTTTTCAGTCATCCAAAGGAGGAAAAAGTGATCATATTCTAAATTCATCACATCAACTAATACACACAAAAAAGAAAAAGGCACTAGCCAAAAAGAGCAATCCTACTTGCACAGCTATAGCATAAAAACCATTTTGTGCTTTCAAAGGCCCTGTGGCACTCCAAATCTTCATTCCATAACCTTTTCCTGACCCACAGCAGGGACCAAATAATTAGCAAGTCCCTCTCTACAAGTGCTGGTTGGGTTTATACAGCACAAACAGCTAAGAAACAGAGGCTATTAAAAATGTCACTCCAATTATCTCTCACCCCTATAAGGCTGTTTATAGGAAACATTATTGAGTTTAATAGCATTTTAAATGCCAAGCTCAGTAGGTGAAAGGTTAAAAGTGACAATGTGCTAATACACTAATGCAAAGGGAA